TTGTTAAAATCATCATATAGGTCTTAGGCAAAGATCCTATCTGTTAATTTGAATATAATCAGAAGAAAATAGAAGCTGTGGATTTTCCCCCTTTTTTAAAGTAAATGCTAAATAAGATAATGTGGTTAGCTATAAACTCAGTAAATGCAGTATTTGTGTCCCATCCTGGTACTCATTCTCCACTTCAGGATCAATCCCATTACTATAATTAAGTTTCTGTTTAATTAATTTTATTTCTGTACTTAATAAAAAGAGGCAATTTTTTCCTAGAGGTTCTGTTTTTCCAATAATATAACCACTAAGAAATCAATTGCTTAACAAAAGTTAAAGTAATATGATTTGGCCGTGAATTTCACTCTAACAGAAGGACATAATAAGTCAGATGAAAAATCAGAACCTGTCTCCCCATCCCCGCAAATAAATAAATAAATCTCAGCAAAAGCAAATCTTGGGATCCTTTGGATTTGTCAAACATTTCATGGATCTTCCAAAACATTTTGGCAGGATAATTCCCTAAAGTGATTCATTATCCGTCAATTCATATTTCAATGTCACTTAATATTTGTTGAATATTCACAACATGCTAGCATTGCACAGCTGCTGAGAACATGCTTCTCTGTCTCTCAGCCTCACACTGCATGTTTTTTTCAACATGAAAACATAACATATATTTTAAATTTTGTCGAGGGGATAGGAGAAAATTGGTCTAAAAACAGATCAGCACACACAGCCTTCAAGAATTAATCTTCATACCCATATTAGGAAGATAATCATTGGTTCTGTAAGCACAAAAGTGTGCCCCTTATATCCATTTATATCTATTATACATTATCTTATTTATATATAAACTTATATACATATATTCTTATTATTATCTGGAAATAAAATTTTTATTTAATTTTTATGTTACTTTTATGTATCTATGTGTATATTAATGCTACTATTACTTCTAGAGAAATTCGCTTTATCCACAACCTGATTTTTAAATCTCTATTTATAGATATATGGGTTTTCTATTTCTTAACAAACAGTGAAATTTTCTGTTACTTGTTCCTTATTTGTATTTTATTCTTAATTTGAAAATTATTACCTATATGCATCCATATTACTTTGGTTTCCATAAGGGAAGCTCTTCATCTCCACTTGCCCCATAAATCAACCAGCTCCACTCCCTCACTTCATCTAAGTACCTGTTTAGAGAGGTCTCCTCAGAGCCCGCTAACAAAAATAACATTGACGTAACTCCTGGCCATATTCTTGATCCTTAGACTTTGCTTTATTTTTCCTTCCCCTGATATATTGGAGTTTTGGTTTATTGCTTCTTTCCACCCCCTATAATATAAAGTCTGTAAAACAGGGACATTGTTTTTATTCTTTTCTTCACCTACACAGAGTAGAAATGTGGCCAGCCCCTGTAGGGGCTTCACAAACTTTTTTTGGGGGGGGTGGTAATTAGGTTTATTTATTTATTTTGAATGGAGGTACTGGGGACTGAACCCAGGACCTCCTGCGGGCTAACCATGCACTCTGCCACAAGCTATACCCTCCCCCACTCCGACAAACATTGTTGAATGAATGAATGAATTCTCCAAGAAAAAAGTGTTATTTTCCTTTTATGCAAATCTTAATTTCAAGACAGAACTCCATGTGCATATCAGCCTATGTGCTGTCCTCTACCTTCTAATTTTTCCCTCCCTTTTAAATTTAGGATTTCTTTCTTTCTGCCGAATGTTCCCTCCATGGTGATTATACAGGGCTAGCAATGTCCGTGTTTGTGAGAATATTATGACTTTTTTCTGGTGGAAATCCTCCTTAATCAATTTTTTTTCTTTATACTCAATTCCTTCACCAAGACTTTTTATAAAGAATGTACATGGTGAGTGTTGAGAGTATAAGATAAATAAAATACATTTCCTGGAAAAAAATGTTTAGACTAAAGAGTTTAGACACCACAATAACAAGCTGATTCTGGTGTAGTTTCTCTAATATTTTGATGGATTCTAAAAGGCTTCCTTTAAGATACAATGTTAAAAAAATTTTTTAAATGCTCACTTAAAATCTTTTTTTATTTGAATGAATATTAATGTTAGTTACATTTCATTGACCTAAAAGATAACAAGGGGTTAGAGCAATATTATTAGCTATTATGCAGCGTCATTCACTGTTATTTTTGTCTTAACACCAATGGAGACTTATAAAGAACATGAATCCTGCAAGAAGGTACAATGTTGGCTTTGGGAAAAAAATAATTCAATTTGTTTATTGCAGTGATTTCATTGCGATATAACTCTTCAGTATGGATTCAAAACATCCATCCCATTCACTGTTTTTTCTGCTTGAGAATAATGGACTGCTACTTCCCTCAAAACAAGAGGAAATTACGCTCTGGCATCTGGTTGCTTTCCTTTTGTTTCTTTCAAATAAAATCTAACGTATTTCAGTCCAAAGTTTCCTTAAAATGCTGTATTTACCAATGTGCTTTATAGTGCCCAGCATATTTTAAATTAACATTAAAGGGAAACAACAGTCAATCAGCATCATAATTATTCAGTAATAGCCCAAACAGCTGCCTGACTTTCTTTTTTGTACTTGCTTGGAATTTCTTTTCATATTTTCAAAGAGGCAAAGTGTGGAAAATAACCTCTTTGATTGAAGGTGTGTGTTTTCTGAAGGTAGGAATATAAATCATATTACTTGGAAATTTAGAAAACAGCTTCTCACTCTGTTTTCTCCAAGGAGTATAGAAGAATAATGAAAGGTTATGGTAATGATACAACACATTTTTGTTTTTCTGAGAACAGTGTACTACTTCCCAACAGCCTTTTTTGCTGATAGAAACAACTTAAGGTGATGGTAGTTTTACTATTATCTGTACCAACAACTGTTTTTTTTAAATTCATTTCTTGACTGGAAAGTCTATGTAATAAGTGATCATTTGACCACAGATAAATATTGTTCCTGTATACTTTCATCACACCTTATGTATAACCTTCATCTCAGCTCCTTCCTTTTGAATTGTGTCAACCTATTTATGGATTGCACCCTCATTAGACCACGTACTCTTAGAGGGTAGGGTTCATGGTCACTTAGCTTTTCACACTTAAGCACAAAAACAGGATGTGGATCATGGAGTCGCTGTGCTCACTGAAACAGCATGCTGTCTGAGGCTTACATGTTTCCTTCCACATACCTGACTAATAAGTAGGTGAAAGAAATGAGAAATTTTATCCTAGACATTTAACCATTGAAGTTTCTCCAAGATATTTGTAAGCACTGTCAACCACTTATGTCTCTGTGATGATGTTTCCAAAATAATCTAGACATTTTCAGCCAATCTTATACTCTGTATGGGAGGTAAGCAAATAACTTGGGAGTTAATTTTCTCTTCATTTTCATGACCAGTATTAGAAAGAGCATTGGGCTGGGAGGTTATGAAATGTATTTTCTACTTTCTGTTTTGCACATCTGCTATGACATTGTGGGAAATCAGTAAACTTCTGTAGGCTTAGCCCTTACCATCTGGAAACTGAGAAGGGGGTTTATGCTGTCTCTATGGTCCTGTTCAATTTCAACATCTCAGATTCAAGTTCAATTTATTAGTTATCTTCCATAAATTTTTTGCATTTGAATTCTCACTGCTTCCTTGCAATAGATAATTCACATCCAAACTAACTTTCTCTAACAAATTAACTTTTTTATGACCTTAGAAACCACCATCTTCTATAGATAATAATGACAATAGTAATAATACTAATAACAACAATAATAAATTACCTCAGTCTGTATTTCATTTTGTTTCCATAAATCATATTCAGGTTGGCTTTACAATATTAAACAGGGTAATTTTACCTGTGATTGTAAGTGAAGACTCAAAAATGAAAGTTCCATATTAATGCTATTAAGAGCTACTATATAGTGATTGCCTAAGTGATAAGGACCGTGAGGTGACTTTTATATTTTTACTCTCACAAATACCACTTGGAGGTGGGTATAACTAGTTGGAAACCAAGGATCAAAGAAGTGCAGTCATTAACTACATTTCCAGGGCTGTGAATCCAAACCTATATGTTGAAGTAGGGATTAAATCCAGCTCTTGTTTTTCTTTTCTCAAATTAAAAAAGAAAAGAAAAAAAAGCAACATCTTAAATCTAAAAATATGTGTCACATGGGCAGCTAGAAGTCTACAGAATAAATAATATATTTACAAAAGCAGCACATAAATCAACAACTGTGAAGGAGTCATTCAAAATTTAAAGTACGGAAGTGGAAAGCCTGTAAAAAGTGAATTTTGACAGAGTTAGAGAAAAGTATTTTTTCCAGCCTTCATTGTCGTTATTACAAACAACAAAAGTGTCATCACGTGTACTGCTCACACAGTCACCTTCCATTTTGCAGTCCTTTACAGATAACTGTGCCTGTGATTTCATGTGCATCTTTGACCAGCCCCCTTTCATGAAGTATTTATTTTGTACCTATTATTCCTGAAAAATAGTAGAGGTAGCATTCACCTCTACAGCCACCTCTATAAAAATAGTTTTATATCTGTATAAAGATGTATAGAAAGATAAATATTTTTAAAGATATAATGATCAAAGCTCAGTCTTCACTACTTATTGCCTTTTTCTTCAACCATCTTTTAAGCCATAATTCAAATAAACAATTTCAGCTAGAAATCACATATTATTTCAAATGGCTATTTTGTTTTTATAGTATGGCTTGTTTCCATCCAAAAATGATTCATTGCCCCAAATTATTTTGAAAGATATTGCCTAAGGAGTTGAAAAGTGCTCACATTTTATTTTATGGTACAACAATTCATTAATACTGTACTGAGTACCAGCACACTAATATTTTGATGATTTTGCATAAATTTGCAGCAGTGGGGAGAGATGGCAGGTGTTCCAAAGAGACAAGAAAGTAAAACATTGAGTTGGATTAGATGTGGAAAGTGAGAAAAAAAGAACCTTCAAGGATAAATACTGGGTTTCTTGTCTTTGTAGTTGGATACATGGTGATGTCACTCAAAAAGCAAAGAAATATGGAAGACCAGATTGAGGGCAGAAAAACAGGTAAATATGGATGTCAAATATTGCTCTATTTTTTTCTTGTATTTGATTTTTTTTCAATTTTCTTGTTCTAGTAAAATATACATAATATAAAATTTACCCCCTTAACCATTTTTAAGTGTACAGTTCAGTAGCATTTAAATACATTCATAATGTTTTACAATAATCACCACCATCCATCGCTATAACTCTTTTTATCTTGTGAAAATGAAACTCTGCATCTATTAAACACTAATTCCCCATTGCTCCCTCCTCACCAGCCCCAGGCAACCACCATTCTACTTTCTGTTTCTATGGCTTTGACCAATCTAAGTACCTCATGTAAGTGAAATCACACAGTATTTGTCTTTTTGTGACTAATTTATTTTACATAGCACGTCTTCCAGATTCACCCATGTTGCAGCGTGTGTCAGAATTTCATTTCTTTTTAAGGCTGAATAATATTTCATTGTATGTATATACACATTTTGCTTATTCACTCACCTAATGATAGATTGAGCTGCTTTCACATTTTAGCTGTTGTGAATAATGCTGCCATGAACATGGGTATAAAAATATCTCTTTGAGACTCTGCTTTTAATTCTTTTGGGTACATACCCATAGGTGAAACTGCTGGGTCAAATGGCAATTTTATTTTTAATTTTTTGAGGAATCATCGTACTATTTTCCAGAGTAGCTGCACTATTTTACATTCCTATTAACAGTGCTCAAGGGTTCCAGTTTCTCCACATCATTGTCAACATTTTCTATTTTCTGGTTGGTTTTTTTTTTTTGATAGTAGCCATTTAATTGGGTGTAATAGGGTATTTCATTGCAGTTTTGACTTGCATTTCCCTAATTAGTGATGTTGAACATCTTTTTATGTGCTTATTGGTCCTTTGTATACCTTCTTTGAAGAGATGTCTTATTCATATCTTTTGCCCACTTTGAATTGGGTTGTTTGGTTTTTTTGTTGAATTTTAGACGTTCTCTCTGTGTTCTGGATATTAATCCTTTATCAGATATATAATTTACAAAAGTTTTGCTCTATTGAGCTATCTAAATGGAGGTGTTGAAAAGACAATTATATTGGTGGTTCTGAACTGGAGAGGGATGTAGGGAGAGTGTCTTCAGGAAATCGAGGCTCAGTTAAGACAAAGATGTGCTGAGAACGAATGTGAAGATGGCTGTGAAGACCAGGGGGCAGAGCAAAAGGGCATCGTACACATGCTCTGCCTGATTTCTTTGCTGGGAATGAATGACCTTCACAGTCATAAGAGCCTAGAGTGGCATAAAATTTATCTTTTTAAATGTTGTCTAGTATCTACTAACTTTTGTGATTTAGGCCTGAAAATTCCACATTAGAATTAATAGGGGACAGTTGCTGTACTGCATGTGACTGAATGGAAAATACAGTTCGCAGCAACTACAAGTATTTCCTCTCTCTTGCTCTCCTTTAAAAATGCATCTCAACTTTGGATGTGGAAGGAAAAGGAACAAGAACAACTCTGTGGATAAAGAAAGTTTTGAAAACAGTAAAGACTTTTGAAGATGGACTGTGTCTCTCTAATGCTTTTAATTAAAACATAGACCTCATTGGCCTTTCAGGAGTGGGAAAATAACTAAAGAACTGATTTAAAACAAAAGCTATAAATAAAAATCCTTGCTACTTACAATCTTTACTTCTTTTTTACTACCCTAACTTAGTCCTTTAAAATAGTTTTACATTTTCTTCAGACAAATTCTGCTGTATTCTTACTTATCCAAATTCACTCACATATGCTTAACTATTAGCTGTCAATCAATGTAACAAAGTAGCATGAAAGAAATACATTGCCACATGGGATCAGTGATTTTCCCATGTAATCCTGTCAGCAAAATATAAGGCCAGCTTCCTTTTAGAATCAGTTAATGCTAGATAAACTAAACACTGTGAATGACTGGAAGTCACCTTAAATGATTAACAGATTGGCTAAATTTTTGGCTCACTCTACACTTGCTATCATCATGAAATCTCATCTAAGTTGTTTTAGGAATGCCTTACTCCCTGGTTAAGTAAATTATGCCATTATAAATTATAAATACGATGGAACACTGTGCAGGCATTTTAATGAGACAGATATTTATCTGCTGGCATAGAAAGGTACTCATGATATGATCTTTTAGGTTAGATTTCCAGGAAACATACTCTGAGGAGAGGCATGTATAGAATGTTTACTGGGGAGTTTGAGGGAATGAGAAAGACAGGATTATGTACAGGGACAATCTGACCTGTAATGTAATAATAACTGAAAGACTGTAATTGATATCACAGAAAACGTGGACCTGGGATGGTCCTTCAGAGTTACACAGTGTGGCAAAGTGGAGAAGGGGGATTGTATTCCTGCAGTATGCAGTCCTTCTCCATGGTTTCCTTGACAGGGAACACTGGGCAAGGGATTTCTTTGTGACTGAGGGCAATTCCAAGTTTGGAGTGGAGCTAAATCTATCAATAGCTGATATTCTGGGCCTCCATGGGTGAGTTCTTTCATCTTGATGAGGGATCTGCCCAGTGTCCCACACTATTCACTGCAGTCCTCTCTTTGAGTTGCTCAGATCTCCTTACTTGTTATGGTAAGTTCACTCCATTTGAGAATTGCTTCTTCAAGATTATGATTCACCAAATTTCCTCGGAAAGCTTATAAAAGAAGAGTTAAGAGAATGAATTGCAATCCTCAAAGATGTGGTTGATTTATAGTTCAAATTCTGAGATAGGAAATTGTATGCAGCACATTAATTTGTGAGTGATCTCAGGATTTACATCTATAAGCATAAAGTGAGTGAGGGAAACAGGATTGAGCAAAGGGAAAAGCTGCCTCATAAGCTTACAGAGAGCTCTGGACCTGGGATGACCCTTCAGAATTGTCCAAATTGAGGCTACAGAGGCTCAGCATTTGTGTTCCCATATCAGCCAGTAATTAGTGGTGGAGTATACCCTCAAATGTGAGCATAACTTTGTTCATAACAGTTCCATGTGTCCAAAGGATAACCACCAGTAAAGGGCATGGTCACGTGGTCATAGGTCATCAGAGTGTCCTGAAGAGGGAATGTGGACAGAGTGCCACATCAGTGGTACCACATCATTGTGTGATGACGGAAGTGATTACAGTGATGTTGATGATGATTATCAACATAGCAGCTAAGACTTTTACAGCACTTTGATGCTCCACCACTATCCTAAGATCTTGTTCGTTTAGTTCTTATAATGACTTTAAGAAGTAGGTACCCCTTACACCATATACAAAAATCAACTCAAAATGGATTAAAGACTTAAACATAAGACAAGATACAATAAACCTCCTAGAGGAAAACATAGGCAAAACATTATCTGACATACATTTCAAAAATTTTCTCCTAGAAGAAATAAAAGCAAGAATAAACAAATGGGACCTAATGAAACTTACAAGCTTCTGCAGAGCAAAGGAAACCAGAAATAAAACAAGAAGAAAACCTAC